TTAGGGCTGGAGATGGCTGGGAGGTTACGAGCACTGACTGCTCTTCCAGAGGTCCTGAGTTCAACTCCCAGCAACCACATGGTGGCTCACAACCATCTATAATGAGATCTGGTCCCCTCTTCTGACCTGCAGGCATACAGAACACCGTATACATAATAAATAAATCTTAATTAAAATTAAAAAGTTACAGAATGAGAAATTTCACATCATATTTCAGCTTTACCATCTTGAGATCTGGGCCAGAAGGAACCCATGCCAGGGCCCAGAGGGTGACTCTCAGCTTCTGTGGTCCTTTGAGCCTGGCCCTGCCCTCAGAGTGACGTGCCGCCCCACCACACTGGCTTTTCCCCACTGGCCCCAGAATGGCAGCTTCATTTCTGCCTTGTAGCTGAGGAACACAAAGACTCGCCAGGCGCTTTCTAGTCCTATTCCTGTTTTTTTTTTTTGTTTGTTTGTTTTGTTTTTTGTTTTTTTGAGGTGGGAAACTCACACTGCTCATATCTCTGTCTTCCGGCACCTCCCCTCAACCCAAGGTTGGTAAGTTGGGAGTCTGAGGCAAAGGCATTGGTGATCACCGTGCGATTTTCGTGCCAGGGTGAAACCAGAACTATGTTGTGTGAATGTGGGCCCAGATTATGGAAGGATGGGGGTGGCAGTGGTTAGGAAGGGAAATCAAGGATTCCTGGGAGCCTGGTCCCTTACAGTCTTGTCCCTGAGGGAGCTGTGGCCCTGCTTCCCACCAGGGCAAGCCTGAAGTTTACTTCCCAGCCACAGGGGCTTTCTCTAGGATGGAACCCAGGGCTTCACACAGCTAAGTGTAAACATGCCTATGCTATAGCCCCGGCCCTCACTTTTTTATTTTAGATAGTCTCAGTATGTATTGCCATGTAGAGGAGGGCTACCATACACTCTGGAATTTTCTGCCTCCATTTCCCCAGTGCGAGTGCTAAGCTAACTGGCGTCCACCAACATGTCTGGTTTATATGATGCTGCGGAGGAACCCAGGCCTCATGCATGCTAGGCACACTGTCTCTCGGCCCAGCTGCCCCCTCAGCATGCTGCCCACCTCCTTTCTGGCATTTGAGACAGCGTCTCTTGTAGCCCAGGCTACTCTCTGTGTAACTGAGGCTGGCCTTGAACTTCTGAACTTACTCCAAGGCTGTATCACTGTGGGGAGTGGTGGGAGGAAGTGGGAGCCAAGGCTGGGGGATCCCAGCTGCCTTTCTTGTCTCATAGATGGTATCTATGAGATTGGCGGCCTCCTCCCCGTCTGGGCTGTGGTGGTGATCGCGGGCACAGCTCTGGCCTCAGTGACCTTCTTTGCTACATCTAACAGAGAGCCCCCTAGACTTCACTGGGTAAGGATTGGAGGCCTCCACTGGGCAGCCTGGGTGTGTTCCTGGGGGTGGCTTGGTGAGCGGTAATGTCTACCCTAAAGCTATTTGCCTGTTCAGGCGTGTGTGTATATGCACATCATGTGTATGCAAGCTCATAGGTAAGTCTTGAATACTGTCAGGCAAGCACTCCGCCAATGGGTCACACCCCAGCCTGGGTTGTGGGTACCGGCTGGGGTCCTATCTGGATCCCCATTCCCTCCACAGCTCTTCGCCTTCCTGGGCTTCCTGACCAGTGCCTTGTGGATCAATGCAGCTGCCACCGAGGTGGTGAACATCTTACGGTCCCTGGGCGTGGTCTTCCGTCTGAGCAACACTGTACTAGGGCTCACCCTCCTGGCCTGGGGGAACAGCATTGGAGGTGACTTGGGGCTGTGGGGTGGCTCTTCCTTTCCCTGGCCACAGTTATACCTTGAGAAGACATCCAGGGTGTGTGTTCTCTGCCCCAGTGGGTTGCCCGTGTGTGTGTGTGTGTGTGTGTGTGTGTGTGTGTGTGTGTGTGTGTGTGTGTGTGTGTGTAGAGGGGTCACTAAGCTGCCACTGGGCTGGAATATTCTACAAAGGCCTTCCTAGTTTGATGCAGAAACACTCCACAGGAGTTCAGGCAGGACATGAAACCCATTACAGCCAACCAGGTTTAATGCGTATGTGGGGGGTGTTGTACACGTGCTGTCACACATACGTACCTATAGCATTTGTTTAGCCACAGCAGCTTGGTGACATTGACCAGGTCACCCACTGAACAGGGACAGTCTAGCATGGAGCTGGAAGTCCAGAACCCAGCTGTCCTTTAGCCCAGGCCTTTGAGTATCTCACCGAAAGCACACAAAGGTGCCGTGGGATACGGTGGGGTGTAGTGCTGTACCCCTAAGGTTGCTCCCAGTGAGAAAGTGGGGTATGCGGAATTAGAGGGAAGGGTGTCTTAGAGAATGCTGAGTCCCCAGAGGACCTCTATTGGTGTTTGTTGACTGACTAGCTATGTAAACAGGAGCCTGGCCCTCATAGCCTACTCTCTCTCTCTGTCTCTCTCTCTCTCTGCAGATGCTTTCTCAGATTTCACCCTGGCCCGCCAGGGCTACCCTCGGATGGCATTCTCCGCCTGTTTTGGTGGCATCATTTTCAGTATCCTTTGTGGGCTTCTCTGAGCCCCGGTGTGGTGTCCCAGCTCTGAGAGTCACAGGTGGGCTCTGAGCGCCACCCTTGGGACTGGCCAGGGACTTATAGCTTCTCCTCCGCATTTGTTGATGGGGAATTGCAATTCCAGCCTCAGGTTAGTAGAAAGGAGTGAACCTGAAAAGATCTACAGGGATGGTCTTGGCTCCATCTCAGCCTCTTACTTTAAGGCATGAGGGTGTGGTCACTTAGCCTCAGTTTCCCCATCTGCCAAGTGCTCACAGGTACCCAGCATTTCTGACACCCCATTTCGCTCTCACGGGCCGAATGCAAAATAGACTCTTCACACCCATTTTATTAGAGGCATTAGCATCAGGGGCCCTGGGTGTAGACAGTCAAGAAGGCCGTGTGCTGAGGAGGCCTCTGAGCCCAGGGCTGAGGTTGAGCAGCTGTGAGGGAGGGCTGCAAGGTTGGGCTGTGGGCTCCAGCAAAGCTTCCTGAACTGGCTACAGATATCCTGGTGGGTGTGGGGCTGGGTTGCTTGCTGCAGATTGCCCGGAACCACGCCGCAGAGGTGAAGGTGAGCCAGCCATCTTGAGGGACGGCTAGTGTGATTGCAGAATATCTTAAAAATATTTTGCATAAGGGTTGGAGTTTCCCTGCAAGCAGACAAGGTAACTAAGATGCAGCTTGCATGGAATGGGTAGGTGGCCTGAGGCTTTGGCTCCGTTGAGCTTTCCCAGTGAATTAGAGTGATGACATACCCCACTTTCTGGATAAGCATGCATGGGGTAAGGACCAAAGCTGGAAGTCAGACCCCAATACCGCCCACGGGGAGGAGCTGGGAGAAGGGATGTGCCCTGGAAGGTGGGGCCCATCACCTAAAGGGAGGACTCTTTGTTGTTATTTTTGGTTTTTTTTGAGACGGTTTTTCTGTGTAGCCCTGGCTGTCCTGGAACTTGGTCTGTAGACCAGGCTGGCCTTGAACTCACAGAAATTCATCTGCCTCTGCTCCCTAAGTGCTGGGATTAAAGGTGTGGGCCACCATTGCCCAGCTCTCAGGGAGGACATAGGCTGGCCTGGGTTCGTTAGTTCTTTCTTTTTTTAAATGATTTATTTATTTTCATGTGCATTGGTATTTAGCATACATGCATGTCTGAGGGTGTTGTGTCCCCTAGAGGTAGAGTTATAGACAGCTGTGAGCTGCCACGTGGGTACTAGGAATTGAACCCAGGTCCTCTGGAAGAACAGGAAGTACTCTTAACCGCTGAGCCATCTCTCCAGCTCACTGGCCTGGTTCTTGTGTATGCCAAGACTTTACTGAGGCATAGGAGAACATGTGTTTTGGGGGGAAATACCATGCCATGGCCCAGAGGGCTCTCACAGGGAACCTGAACAACCTCTTGTCTTCCCGCAGCTGGAGCCAGACGGACTGCTGGTGTGGGTGCTGGCCAGCGCCCTGGGGCTCAGCCTAGTCTTCTCCCTGGTCTCCGTACCGCTTCAGTGTTTCCAACTCAGCAAAGCATATGGCCTCTGCCTGCTCCTTTTCTACGTCACCTTCCTCATTGTCGTCCTACTCACGGAATTTGGGGTGATTCACCTGAAGAGGGGCTGACTGAAGCTGCTTGGCCTGGTGGTTTAGGGGTGATCCCCCTAGCCTCCTGATGGGAGGACTGGAGGGGGGCCCTCTAGTTCCCGTGTGTAGCTCCCGGAAGGGTGGTCTCTTACTGCCGGAGCAGAGCTCCCCATGGATCACAAGGACCTGACTGCCGGCACCCAACAGCCTTAGTCTGGGGATTTGGAGGCTGGCTTTGCTGGGCACCACCCCAGGTGGAAAAGATGGGACTTTAAATGATGGCAGGGCCACTCGGGAGGACGGCCTGTCTGCCCCGGTCCCTGCTGGGCTTTGGGCTCTTCCACAGTCTGCAGTGTCTGCTGAGTCCCACAGCAGTGTTGGCTGAACCGGTGTGTGGTTTCTCAGCCTCCCATGTAGTGTTACAGTCAAAGGAAACAGGTCAAGCTGACAGTTGTACGTGGTACTGAGCCAGGAGGCTCAAAACCACCTGGCCCTACCCTGCCCAACGAGTGGCTGCTACATTGGACCATGGATCCAGACTCTTCTAGAACTTTGTTTGGAATTCTGGCTCCCCAATCTACAAAACAGGAGCCAGCCTGGGCCCTGTGCCTACCTCAAGGGGAGCCAGGGGGAGTTCACCCCTCCACAGGGGCTTCTTGCAAGTGCTGTGATCAGCCTTTTAAAAATGCCACTCACTCCCTGACTGCTTTCAGCTGTAACTGAGAGACTTGATTGTTGGTTTTTGGTCTCCCTCCCCCCCATAAAAAAAATAAAAGACAAGCTATTTTAATCATACCAGAGAGGCCCACAGGTCTCCTCAGTCTGTTGCCTGGGCAGATGACCAGAAGGCTGGGTGGAGTTAAGGTGGGGTCAGTGGTGCCCCCCCCCAGTTGGAAGTCAAAGGCTGCAGTCTCATCTACAAAGCAGAGGCTCTTTATTGACATACCAGAAATCTGGGCACAGTAGGTTCCTAGGTAACAAATCATTGTATAAAACCTTCCGACGTGGCTCCTTGACCCATACAAAATGATTGTCTGCATGGTGTGGAGTAAGGCTGGGGTGGGGGAGGGGAAGCATGACTCCACAGCTATCCCTGCTAGGCTGTGGCTCAGAGCCTCCCGTCCCCACTCAGCTGAATTGAGGGAAGGGGCAGCTGGGCTTAGATGGGGTTTCAGGGTCTTCAGATCACAGCCTGGATGACATCCACCTGTCCCCTGCTTGACTAGCAAGTTTTGGGAGTCAGCTTGGTGTGCCCAAGGTGACCCTGTAAGGATAGGTGTCCCCAGTCTACAAGACTGGCTGGAGTTTGGCCTATCAGCCCTATCTCCTGGCACCTGGCTGGTATGTACTAAACCCAGGGGTTTAGTACCTCCATATTAGGCCCTAGACCAGTCCCCCATCTGTACCTTGCCCCCCTAGGCTAAGGAGAACTGACATTTCTTGGGGTAGAGGAAGGGCGTAGGACCAGGCTGGATGCTCCAAGGCCCCCAGCCCTCTATAGAGGCCTCTCCCCTTTTTGCTTCCAAAATGCCTGTACACAAAACTAAGGCACCCAGCTGTGCAAATGAAGCTGCTTCAATGGAGAGAGGGCTATGGCTGGGAGGCCAGGCTGAGCGCCAGTGGTGGCCCGGAGCCCTTCAAAGTTGAAGGGCTGCTACCAGTCTCCTGACTGACTGCCTGTGGAAAGCAGTGGTTTTCCCAGGGGCCTGTGCTTTATTTAACATGAAGACAACTGCATTCATGTTCTGGTGTGGCCCCAGGATCAGCTGAATGGGGTGCTGGGCCCCGCTCTGTCCTCTTCTGCTGCTGCGAGAACGTGAAGGGACCTAAACCCACCCACTCTGAGTTCCAAGAAGCAACAGGCATGGGAGGCCAGGTTAGTCGGGGTGCCAGCCGGAGGCCAGAGATGCCTCCCCAGTCCTGCCTGCACCTCGTTCGTCCCTTGGTGGACACGACAGTGGGGTGAAGTGACCACAGCTCCGTCCCTGCCACTGTTCCCTCACTATCCAATCACCACCTTATTGAGAGTCAAAAGAACTCCTAGGAGGCCACTGAATGCTCACCTGCCTCCCCTCCCACACCTGCCTAGCTTATGAGAACCGTAGAGGGGCCTCAGAGTCCCCGAAAGGCAGTTCCCCGTGGTGTGGATGTGGTGGTGCAAGGGACAGCGGTGTCCCTGTGCTACTGCTCCTTCCCCGGGCACAGTATCTCCTGGAGAAGGGGGATGGGGTGGGGACTGCCTTCAGCACCACCTCAAGTTAACTCTGCTGAGGAGGTGACCCCCAGAAGGGACTCGGTGTAACCTGGCCAAATTCCTGGTGCCTCCTGTTGGCTTCCTTCTGCTGCGCCTAGCTTCTCCAGGATTTCGGCAAAAGGAAGGACCAGAAGCTCCAGAGAAAGAGTAGGTTACCGTCTGGTGCCATCTCTAGATGTGTCTGGCCTCCCTTAAGGCCTCCCATGGGATCCCAGGCACTGACCTGACAGGGAACTTTCTAGCACTTTTATCTGCAGGCACCATCCGGTAGGACGCGGGGTTTCTTCTTAGTGGTTTTGTCCCTAATACCAGACACAGACACCTGTGATGGGTGCAGGGACACTGCAGGGTTGATGCCTGAGGCAGCAGCAGGGAGGTCCACCTGTGTGACTCCGGGCCCCCCGGGGGGGGGGGGGAGCTGCCATTGCTGAGATGGCAAGCCTATTTAAGGAGCTTCTTGAGAAGAGGGCTTCCAGAGATTTCCATGGTAGGAAGAGCTCTGCCAGGCATGGTCTTTTAGCCCAAGCTGACTTCTGAAGCTCAGGAAGACAGAGCAAGGCGGTTCAAACCGGCCCTGGCTAGTCCTTTTCTGTCTTTGTAAATATGTGCATATATATGAGTGTGTCTGCATACACACATGGTTTCCATACATTGTAGTACATAATACTATGGTGTTATTGCATAGAAGAGCTGGCTTCACGAGACCCAGCTAGGTGACAGTCTGGGAGCGCTGACGACTGCCAGGGGGCTGCTGGGCGGCGGGGCCAGGCATGCTGCCCTTAAGTTGCTGCTGCAGCTGCATCTCCTGTTCCCGGGCGTGCTCCTCATACCACTCCTAGAGCAGAGGTGAGTGATGCTGAGGGTGGTTCAAATTCCAGCCCACTCCCCCAGCTGGGACACAGCCCACCACAAGGGGCAGCAAAAGAGCCCCCAATGGCCCCCGATGGAGAAAAAGCCACAAAACAGCCTGAGTCAGGGCCACATGGGCTCTGCAGGAGGTCAGGTCCCAGGCCTAGAGGCTGTGTGTGTGTGTGTGTGTGTGTGTGTGTGTGTGTGTGTGTGTGTGTGTGTGTGTGTGTGTGTGTGTCCTTCATTGGGACACTGTTTCTGTTGCCCTCTGAGGGGCCACAGGGGTCCTTTATAAGTTTATAAAAGGGTGGTGGTAGTGAACGCCTTTAATCCCCGTACTCGGGAGGCAGAAGCAGGCGGGTCTCTGTGAGTTCGAGACCAGTCTGGTCTACAGACCGAGTTCCAAGACAGCCAAGGCTATTACAGAGAAACCCTGTCTTGAAAAACCAAGAACCCTAAGACTAACTGCTCCATCAACACTCCAGGCCCTGCCTACCCACTTGCTATTCAAGGGGCCTCCAGGCTCTTCCCATCACTCTTGCTGTCCTGTGACTGCTGTGTGGTGTCCTCTGTGAATGCTAATTCCGCCACCCCTTCCAGCCACTGCCAATAAACAACTAGTTAAGGGAAAAAACAAAAAAAAAAAACCCTTATAGTTATTTATGCCCCAGCTTTACTCAGAAAGCCAGCCACTCCCAGAGCTCGGGGCATTCGGGTCCCATATTTTAAAAAACAGAACCCAAGCCACAGACCTTTGGAGCTTAAGGAATTCTCCAAAGTCGGCCAATGGCTATGCCTCTCGTTAGCAAGGGCAGCACTGAAGCCTGGAGTGGGCTGGGCAGGCTGGGAGGAGACGGGAATTGCCTGCCTCTGGGCGCCTTTAGTGTTCCTGGTCAGTTGCACCACTGCTCTGCAAGTCATACTGTTCTGTCACTGTGGTAGGGACTGGGACACCAAGGGTCAGTGGCCTCTATGTATAGAAAGAAGCCGACCCCAACTTCTTATGTTAACAAAGCTGCTGCATAGGAAGTCCTAGAGACCCCAGAGGGAGGAGAGCTAAGCAGGTCATGCCTCTGGGCTCTGTTGGAAGCGTGCCAACCTGCAAAGTGTCTACACCTTTGTTTTTTCAAGACAGGGTTTCTCTGTGACTTTGGAGGCTGTCCTGGAACTTTTACTCTTGTAGACCAGGCTGGCCTTGAACTCACAGAGACCCCCCTGCCTCTGCCTCCCGAGTGCTGGGATTAAAGGCGTGTGCCACCAACGCCCGGCCCCAGCCTATACTTTTAACAGTTGCTGGTATGGCAAGATTGGGAGATGGTGGAAGGAAAGAAGGGAAGGAAGGAAGGAAGGATGGATGGATGGCTGACTTTGTCCCTAAAACAGAAGTCCCCAAGTCAAAATGCCCATCCCCCTGAGCTGAGCAAGGCTTATTCCCATCAAGGGGCAGGAAGAGGGAAGCAGTCGCGCTGCCCGGGCAGCAGCAGATGCTATAGGGGATCTACCTGGTCTCTTCCCTCACTCATATCTCTGGAAAGAACCACAGGGGTACTGGAAGCTCTCAAGGGGCAGCATGGCCATGGGTGGGCTGGACAGGAGAGTGGCTACCCAGAATGCATCAGCATGTCAAGGCTGTGAGCAGTCTTGGTCTCGAGTCCCTGGGAGGGCATGGAGCCTTTCCTGGGTCCTCCACCAGAAGGGCCCCTCCCAGGACATCAGCCCCTACCTGGATTTCCTCCTGGTACATCTTCAAGCTCAGGTCACTTTTGGTTCTTGATCTCCGTCCCAGAAACACCAAAGAATTTTGCTAGGGAGGAACAGAGGCTGTGAGGGATATGTAGCTGCAGATGGCATGGATTCACCTGGACCTGGGCCCTAGGGCTGCTCCTACCCCGCTGACATCTGCAAGGGTGCCACCAGCTTAAAATGGCACGCCCCTTCCCCTTTGCAACCTCAGAGCCTATGGTCCCTTCCTTACCTGGTATTTCTCCATCTGAGAGAGGGTGTCAAGCAGCCGGGTGACGTCAGAGGAGGCACCTCGCACCTCACGATAAAGCTCCAGGATGGCCAGAAGCTCCTCCTTGGATATTTCCTTCTCGATGACGATGCCACTATCCACTGAGGGTGGAGAGAGCGGTGTCCATAACCACTCCCTCCCACTGTGGAGCCGGGCTCTTCCCCCAAGCAGCTCCCGCTCCTGTCCCAGCCACTGGCTGTCCCTCCTTCCCCTCCCCTTGCTAATGTATCAGGAAGTTGTGTCCAGCCAACAGCTTACAGGGAACACAGGGCATCGGAGAAAGCAGGATGTGGTAATCTCAGTGTTTAGGTGTGGGGAGTGGGTGGACCATCTCAAAGCTTGGCTACCTAGCAAGTTTGAGACCAGCTTGGGCTACATGAGCACCTATCTCACAAAGGGCTTCATGAGGGAGCCTCCAAGAACATAGAGAAATGTCAGGTGGCATTCAGGGTGCACAGACAGGAAGACTGCAAGTTCAAGGCCAGCCTCGGTTATATCCGAGACTGCCTCTAACCGCGTGCACATTAGCAAACACATGTAACATCAACTAGCTTGATACCACATCGATTGAAGAACAAGTAGGAATGGGTGGACAGTTCTGGTGGTGTGTGGGTTTTTTTGTTTTTGTTGTTGTTTATTTTTCGAGACAGGGTTTCTCTGTATTGTTTTGAAGGATGTCCTGGAACTCGCTCTGTAGACCAGGCTGGTCTCTAACTCACAGAGATCCGCCTGCCTCTGCCTCCCAAGTGCTGGGATTAAAGGTGTGCGGCACCAACGCCCGGCGGTTTTTTTGTTTTCTTTCTTCAGTTTGGGGTTGGAATTCAGGGCCTTGCACATGTTGTGTATAGAAACAACTCTACCACGAAGCTAAGAATGAAGTCGGCTGCACAAACAGGAAGAAGTGAGCATTGCCAGGCCACTGGGACACAGAAGGGACACTGTCTGCCTCTGCAGTGACGTTCACGAATGGGAATCGGGAGCTGTGGTGGTCTGAGCGTAATACAGCGAAAACATGGCATTGGCTGATGGAAGGCTCTTAGCAGTATACACCAGTCAGAGTTGTACAGGGTTGGGAAGGAGACAAAGGCTGTTCCTCCCACAGCCTTCTCCACTCTGAATGAAATGACGGAGGTTACCTGTTTTGCGTTTAGAAACTGGGGCATTTTTAAAAAATTTATGTACTTCTTTTAGGTATGAGTGTTCTGTTTGCATGTCTGCCTACACGCCAGAAGAGAGCATCAGATCCTATTTCAGATGGTTGTGAGCCACCATGTGGGTGCTGGGAATTGAACTTAGGGCCTCTGGAAGAGCAGCCAGTGCTCTTAACTGCTGAGCCATCTCTCTCGTCCCTCTGCTATTAGATTTTTTGACAATGGATACAAACGAGACCTAGACAGACAAGCCAAAACACAGAGCTGATGCAGTTGGGACAAGCAGACATGGGGACAGTCAGCGAGGTAGCAGACAGGCAATGAGCTGCCAGTGCCTGGGGCGTGACCCATACAGACCTTCCGAGTCCTGGCTCTTTCGGCTGTAGTTCATGCGGAAGACGAAGGCCTCCAAGATGAAGGCCACGATAATGGTCATCACCACCTGGCCAAGGAAAGACAGTGTGTGGGTGTCATGGCTCTGATAGATGAGGCCCTTCCTCTCCGACACTGCAGCCCGGGGGCTGAGGACAGCTGTGGTGGGACCTACCATGGTCACGATATAGAAGGTCATGAAGTACAGGCGGCTCCAGTGGGAGGTCTGCGAGGTGACACCTTCCTGGAGGGAGCAGAGAGTGAGCCCGCAGGCAGCGCCAGCCACCACCTCCTTAGTCTGTCAGCCCAGGCCCAAAGCCAAGTGACACACAACACTTCCCTGGCCCTCCGTGTGGGTGTGGGGCACCAAGGCCTCCTGCTCCCTGGATCTGAGTGCTCCTTTCTGTAGCATCACCCCCCCAGCCCTCTCCAGCATGGCTGGCTGGATCCCGGGTCAGTACAGGTAAGTCTTCACTGGAGAGAATTTAAGTAATGGGGGGGAGGGGCACAAGCCATCCACCCTCACCACACTCTGTTTTAGAGACAGGGTCTGTGAACAAAAGCGATCTTCCTGCCTCAGCCTCCTGAGCAGCTGACACTATGGTCACAATACCTGGCGTGTCACACTGTTAGTCATGGTTAGATACCCAGAGGCTGTCACGGCGCATGGAGGGAGACGGCCAGTGGGAGATACAGCTGAGGGGTGATGGCACACGTGAGCCTCCCACTGAGGCATAATAAAGGGCCCCACACCCTGTGTGGACTGGAAGAGAAGTGCACCCAGCCCCGAGAGAGGACGGGGGGGGGGGGAGGGGGGTAGAGCTTTACCATGATGATGTACCAGTTGTTGACAACCGTGAGCTCAAACAGGGTCACTGCAAGGGAAGGGGGTGTGCCTCAGGCCAGTGCCAAAGGCCCGCTCTGTCCCTGAGTAACTGCTTACAGGGACTCCTGCCACCAACCTGTCCCCCAAAAGGTGTGCCCTTTGCCTGCAGAGCCCATGGGAGACCAGGTCTGGCCGAGGCTGCTAGTAAGGGGCGAGCAGCAGACTTAACCCGCTATGTGATGGGAGAAAGGGGGCTGGCTGTCCCTTCCCTGGAGAGGCCATGCCCAGCACTACGCCCCCTCCCATCATCAGGATTTTACAAGGAACCAGAGAGCTGAGAGGAGCCCTGGGGTCTGGGTCAGGGGCTGCTTGACACTGAATTAGCACTGTTGTGCTGGGTTCCCTCCGATGGCACTGAAGGTGTGTCATGCTGACACTACAGCCCTCCAGCTAGGGCCTCTTACTTCCCAGTCACTGTGAGGTCTGGTGCCTGTGGGAGCTGGGTCTGCCTGGTCTCCAGCTACACGGCACTGCCGTGAGTACAAGGGACCCCGGGCGGGTGCTCAGTGGCTAGAGGGAGCGGAGAGGCCTTACGCAGCTGAGCCAGACCAAGGTTGGGAGTACCCCCCGGGACTTGCTCACCAAAGCTGTTGAGGATGTTGTCAAAGTTATTGAGATAGTAGTAGCCGTCCTCTATCTTGGTCTTATTGCCCACTGTGTGGTTGATAAATCGGTAGGCGTCAGCCACCGTGCTGGCGCTAACAAGGGGGACAAGAGGACAGGAGGGTCACAAGACGACCACCATGCAAAACAAGGTCTGGTTAGGGGTCTCCTTGTCTCTCAGGGCCACCCGCCTCCCGCCCTATGCATAACCACCGGGTATGCTTGCAGCCAGCAAAGGTAGAGATGGAGATAGTGAGAAATGGGGGCCTCCTCTGGAGCACTGCTCGTGTGCCCTGGCTTTGACCCGGTTGCTACACTTGGAGGGGACCCCGTTCACCGCACTCCGGGTTTATACTCTTCTGTTAAAATCCATGCTGCCATTTGAAAAAGTTAGGTGCCCATGCCACCAGGGCGCTCGCTTGCAAGGCTATGTCTTGAGTCCTGATAGGTACGTGGACCCTGAAGGGAGGTCTGGAATGTGCACTTGAGCACTGTGGTGGCCGTCATTATGGGCTCTTGGTGCAGCCCTCAGCTGGACACACGCCAGGGCCACTGGTGACTTATCAGTGCTCAAGGCCACATGGGCCAGTCGCACGCAGACCGATCGACAATGGATCTTGCTCATTTCCTTTTGGAGGGGAAGGACGGGGTAGGACCACAGAGGTGTCACCTCGCTCTTCATCCCTCATCTCTGTGACCTTCTTGCCATGGTTATCTGTCCAGTCTCTTGCCAGGTCCTAGCCTCTCCTGGACAGTGTAGGAGGGGGTGAGGGTTGCTCTGGCTCTGGGGAGGCTTGTGTGTATGTCGACTGAGGCCTGAGCCCTGCCAGGGATGGGTGACACTGGCTCCCAAACTGTCTCTCGGCTCTGTGTGCCCGGCTTAGGAGTGAAGCCCGAGCTGTGCAGGCCCAAGGCCACCCACACCACATACTTGCAGCAGTTGCGGTACAGTCGCCCGTTGAAGAACTCCATGCCCACGATGGCAAAGGAATAGTAGAAGATGAGCAGGGTGAGGCCAAGGCTGGGGAGGCAGAGGGACAGACAGGGCAGTCAGGGTGGGTGAGGAGAGCGGCAGCTGCAGCGCGTCATGGTCCCCCGGCACTGACTGCGGGAGGCATGCCCCTAGCCCTGGCCAAGTGGTCACCGAAAAGTGTCTGCAGGGGAGGGGCCGCGTGGCTCACGGTGGGGGATGCTAGGGACAGATGCCCCTTGACCAGAGATGCACCCCTTACCTGTGAAGGGAGGCTCACAGGTGACCCCTTACCTGTGAACGTAGACACAGGTGGTCAGTTGATAGCTCCCTGCCCTCCCCGCTAGACAGTTCAGCCAGACCGGTGCTGCCGAGGGGACCTGTATGGTCCAGAGTCTGTCTCTTTGAAGAGCACCCCCCCCAGGCCCCCGAATTCAACCTTCCTGGGGTTCCTCCTTGTTCCTGCTTCCCCTGGACCCCTACCCAAGCCTCATTCTGCCTGGACCTGCGTGCTGAGGGGTGGACAGTACCTGGCCATGCGCGGCAGCAGCTCGAACATGGTGTCCAACACGTTGCGGTAGCGTTTCTTCAGTTTAAATAACCTGAGTGATGGGGACACTGTGTTGCTGGGACCACAGAGGCAGGGGCATGGCCACAGCCCACTTCCTCAGATGGGCCAGAACCCTGCGAGCCCTCCTTTCCCCACGTGAAGTCAGGCTGAGAAACCTTGCAAAGCTGAGCTCCCTTCCCTCATGACTCATAAACTGTGGCATCTGATGGGGCAGACCCAGGACACCGGGACAGGCCAAGACCCTCTGAGGAGTTGCAGACTGTACCAGCCCCATATTGTATTATGTGGTTTAAAAAAATGCAGCAAGCCCCCCACGGGAGTGGACAGATGAAGCCAGCAGGTCAGACGGTGTGACAAGCCCAGGAAAGGAGATGCAGTCACACGCAGGGACCCTCGGGGCATCGCGTGCCCATCCTGCATTGCCCATGCTAAAGACGGGGAGGGGAGGCTGCCACCAGCTAGTGAATCTCTTAGCTTAGCTCCAAGGGTTCCCACCCCACAATGCCCACTGCCCACCCATCCCCCAGCCCCGCAGGTCACCTCAGCAGCTGAAGGAGACGCAGGACCACAATGAAATAGAAGGGTTCCATGTTGAGTGTCAGTGCGAGCAGACCCAGGAAGGCAAGCCCTGTGACTGAGAAGTCAAACCTGGGGCCAGGGGAGAAGCCAGCTTGTCAATGACATCCCAGGCCCTTTCCACTTTCTCTGGCAACCCTGCTCTTAGCTGGTGGCTTCCACAGAGACCAGTCCAGCCACAGTGCACAGGACATCCCACAGCTGCCCATCCCCCAGCCACAGCTCAGGACTGAGTGTCAGCCTTGGCATTCTGGCCCCAGAGCGCATGGGCCTGGAGACAGCCTCTGTGGACCATGTGTTGCTCTAAGAACGGGGGCAGAAGCCTTGGCCTCAGCAGCCGCTAGATAGCTGATCACACTGGGACTCTGAGACATGCCAGGCAGGCACACACACACCACACTGTTCTTTTTTTTTTTTTTTGGTTTTTCGAGACAGGGTTTCTCTGTATTGTTTTGGAAGCTGTCCTGGAACTCGCTTTGTAGACCAGGCTGGCCTCGAACTCATAGAGATCCACCTGCCTCTGCCTCCCGAGTGCTGGGATTAAAGGCATGCGCCACCAATGCCCGGCCACCACACTGTTCTTAGGTGACACGGTGTCAGGGACACATGTGTGTTAGACAAGCGTCTACTGAGTGTGTTCAGCCCATTCATATTTTTTTCCCTTGTTCTTTTCTCCCTTCTTTAATATGGTGTCTGTGTTGCCCAGGCAGATGTTAGACTTCTACCCCATCCTAAATGGTGATAAGCCCTCTACCCCATCCTAAATGGTGATGACAGCAGTGCCTCAGCAGTCTGATTTCTCCCTGCTTGGATTAGCTGTATTTTGATGACCCAAGCCCTCATGGGTGTCGCTTGACTTCACAGGTGAGTTAATTTTAGATGAAGGAGGGTGCGGGACTTCCAGAGCCACACTGAGGCCATGGAGTCCTTTTCACTTGTTTCCATATTTTAAAACAGGACCTCACATAGCCCAGGCTAGGTGCAAACATTGCATAGCTGGGATGACCTTGGACTCCTCACCCTCCTGCCTTCACTTCCTACATGCTAGGATGACAGGCCTGCCACATGGCTTTTTTCACTGCCAGTCAAGAGGAGGCGACACCTTCTGTGGCCTTTGTGGTTTGGGGGTTTTCAGTTTGTTTGTTTTTGTCCTGTGAGATAGGTTTGTCTATGTAGCCCTGGCCATCCTGGAACTCGGTTCTGTAGACAAGGCTGGTTTTGAACTCACAGAGATCCAGCTGTCTCTGCCTCTCAAGCGCTGAGATTAAAGGTGTGCGCCGCCGCCACCACCCAGGCCCTTGTGGTTTTAATGGGAGAGAAGAAGCCTGATGATTAGGAAGAGCCAGCTCTGGGGAACAGTGGGGACCAGTGCGGGTGGCCCTAGAGGCTTCAGGTAAGAGCCCCAGGGGAGTCTTGAATCACAGGCAGACAGAACTTGCTGTCCTCTGACCCCCCAAGTGTGTCCCCAGAGCTGCCAGCCTTTTGGGTGTGGGTGGGGAGAAGATGGCTAGCACTAACACTTCAGCTCCGGAGTGACTGTGTGCTCTACTTACAAGTTCCATCCAGAGGACAGGTACTCCACAGGGCCCAGGCCAGCCACCTTCATGAACAGTTCAACTCCATAGACTAGGAGAAGAGGAAGACATTAGGGGCTGATCTGGACTCTCTCCCCAGCCCTCTGTGAGCAGCAGGCCAGCTAGAGGCAAGGCTGAGGGACATGGAAGAAGGCCTTGTAAGAAGTGCAGGGTTTTGAAACAGGGTAAAGAGGTCAGGTTAAACCTCTAAGATGGGGTCCTTTAAGGTTCTGCTCTAGGGGCGGGCCATGAGATGCTACAGGCAGGCAGAGCTCTCACAGCTGGGTTTAAGTCAGCGGCTGGGCAGAGTCATGCACCACACTTACTGGTAAGAAACACAAGGTAACTCCAGGGCACACGTTTAGAGATGAGATTCCCTCCTGGAAGACAGAGAAGTGGCAGTTGCGGTCATCTGGGGGCTCTGAGTAAGGCAGGGAAGGGTCCCAGACGCAGCTCACCTTTCAACATGAATGTCTCCACCAGGATCCACACCCCATTGACAGCTACCACCAAGTCTGCAACAGAGAAGCCGTGAGAGGGAGTCAGAGGGACCAGCCTGCCTGCCAGCCCACAGGGCTATCGGCAGGAACCTGGAGGGTGTGAACAGAGCAGGTCTAGGCTACACACCAACCATGGAGGATTCCCCTTCTGCTCAGAGCTCTCACTACAGGGAATTCCCCAGGGAATGGCCAGGAATGGCTAATGGCACAGTTTGTGTCACTATAGCAACTGGGTTCAGATGAGTCCAAGTTGTCAACACAGATGGCCAGTCTCCATGGGCTTGTCTGACTCTGAAATGGCTGTGTGATGTTAAGAGCACTTGTTGCTCTTGTAGAGAGCCTAAGTCGAGTTCCCAGCACCCAGATGGTGGCTCACAACCACCTATAACTCCAGTCCCAGGGATCTGACACCCTCTTCTGACCTCTGCATGTTCCAGGCACACAGGTGGTGCAGATACACAGGCAGGCGAAACACTCCACTCATAAAATAAAGGGAAAACTTTTTCCTCTCAAAATGCCTGCATGAACACAGTAACACTATGCACTATGAACCTTCCACTCAGCACTTGTATCTGGGAACCACCCCAGGACCAGCAACGAGACATGGGAAATAAATACATGATGGTAGTTGGTTGAATAGACTGACACATATGCCAAGGGGCATGCCACCCACAACAGAAGACCATGTGGTCCCACTCTGTGTTACTATGCAATGGTACCTACGTTTTACTAACCACTAAAACACACCACACTGGGAGAAAGGTGCCTAAAGTATGCTCACGTATTTAAGATGGGAGCTATTTGTGTGTGTATATATATACTTTTTTTTTAAGCATGCTTTTATGGGGCCTTGACTAGCCTGGTATTTGCTGTATACTCCAAACTAGCCTCAGACTCCTGACAATCCTCCTGCCTCAGCCCCTGGAGTATGGGAAATTACAGCCTTTTACCACTACATCTAGTTCTTTTTTTTTTAAGATTTATTTATTTATTATGAATATAACATTCTGCCTCCATTTATGTCTGCAGGCCAGAAGACATCGCCAGATCTCATTATGGATGGTTGTGAGCCATCATGTGGGTACTGGGAATTGAACTCAGGACCTCTGGAAGAGCAGTCAGTGCTCTTAACCTCTGAGCCATCTCTCCAGCCCTACTACATCCAGTTCTTAGAGGTTTAAAATATATATACTTTTTTATTTACTTACTTGTGGGTAGTGGGGTGGGGCATGTGTCACCAGGGGCCAGTGGCAGTCAGAACGACTTGTGGGAGTTGGTTTCCTCCTTCTACGACATGAGTCCGAGGAAACTGAACTCACACCCTCCGGCTTGGCAACAAGCTCCATTAGCCCCTGAGCCATCTTGTTGGCCCTCTTATAGCTTTTACACAATGGAAAAATAAGCCACAATAAAAGGGAGGTAATGGATATAATCTATGCCTACTTGAATATCATGTGCTTTGAAAATTTGACTTGAAACCATATAAATATGCAACCGAGTTATAATACAAAATGTTAAATGAAAGAACGGAGCCCTAAACATCTGAAATAAAACGAAATAAAGAAAAGCGTAGTGGCGCAGACCTTTCATCCCAGCACCTGGGAAAGCTGAGGCAGAGAGTTCTGCTAGCCTCAGACCAACTGGGGAGCCTCAGAACAACAAAAGAGCAATGTGTTCCAGTTGGCACCCTGCCCACGTAAGAGACAGACTATTTCTGGTGACCTGAAGAACACTACGCAAACTTGTGTCTCTAGGTGATGCTTCCCGCAACACAGGGTCACACCTATGGTGGGACTGATGCTGGTACCGTGGCCACAGGTCATGGGCTTGTGATGCAGGGGCCCCTTGGGTCAAGACTGGGGATAGTAGATTAGTGAGGTTTCAAGCCTGGGGTTGAAAATGAAGCAGCAACCGAGACTCATAGTTGGTTTGTTTCTGGTTTTCGAGACAGGGTTTCTCTGTGTAACGGCCCTAGCTGTCTTGGAACTCACTCTGTAGGCCAGGCTGGCTTTGAATTCATCGAGATCCACCTGTCTCTGCTTCCTGAGTACTAGGACTAAAGGCATGAGCCACCACACTGGGCATAATTTATTATCTTTAAAAAGGCAAAATCCAGCTGTGTGCATTGTCCCGCATCTGTATCCCAGTGCTTGGGAGGACCGTGGGTTCAAGGCCAGCCTGGAATATAGAGTAAACTGTGGGACACCCTGAGTTCCAGAGTGAGAGCCTGTCTCAAAAATAAAAACTACATAAATATAAAATAAAAATGAAAATAAATGAAAAAGGCGTGCTTTTTATGGATGACGGGATCCAGGAAGATCTGTCCTACCCTGGAGGTTGGTTTCTATGACATTCTGCCTCCTCAATTTAAGTCAAGCCTCGGAATAAAATGATCACACACACAAATAAATATGTAATAAATAAATACATAAACAAGCAGAACCCTGTCTGTGTCTGTGGAAGCCTGGAAACAGTCAGCGCAAGCAGTAGGCACTCTACGCAACCTGTGGCCTCCGAACACCACTTCCTGGCAGAAGGAATCAGAGCTGAACAGAATACGTGGAAGGTCTGAAAGCCTCCCTGAGGGAGCTGCCCCCAGCCCTTCTGGCTATTGAGTATAAGAAATGTGCCAGGGACCTGAACGGTTGCCCTTGTTACCTCTGTGTGCTTCTTGCGTGCCAGGAGAGAAGTCTACCATTGACTGGTACTTCCAGCCCTTGGATTTATTTTCTTTGGGTAAGGTCTTCCTTTCTGTTGGCTCAGGCTGGCCTCGAACTTGTGGCAATCACTCTGCCTCAGCTTCCCAAGCGCTGGGACTACAGTCGTGAGCCACCACACTAGATTTTTTTTTTCCAAATAGGTTAAATGTTAAGAATCACATGTTGCTATGGCTACTGTGTCAGACCCCAGGATTCTGGATGGCAAATTATAGGGAGTAAGTACATGTGGTGGTGGTGGTGGGGGGCAGGTGGAGAGAAAACAGACAGGCTCTTCCTTAACTAACCTCCTCGGGCAGGCTCCGGTCTGCAGAGGAAGCAAACTCAAACAGCAGGAGCCCAAAGGACCCAGGGCTACAACAGGACGCGGAACTGAACCAGAAGACCAGGAAGCAACCAAGCATGATGTACTGCCACGTGTAATTAGCATGATAATCCAGGTGTGCCTGGATCTCGGGCTTTTGCTTTTTTTTTTTTGAGGGGTGCTGGGGACAGAACCCAGTGCCTGAGCCACATGCTTGGCATCTTCTGATCTCTTGTCCTTCCACCTTCAAGGACAAAGGACTCAGGAGGACAGGGGCCCAAAGCTGTGATGGTTCACACTTACACATGAAATACTGGAAGGCCTTCGACTTTACAAGGATGTTAATGCCTGTTTGGAGAGAAGAAATGTTAAGGTTACAACATCCAAGGTAAGTCAGGCACAGGTACAGGCACACACCTTTAATCCTAGGACTCAGCACTTGGTAGACAGAGGCAGGCAGATCTCTGAGTTTGAGGCCAGCCTGGTCTACAGAGTGAGTTCCAGGACAGCCAGGGCTACACAGAGAAACCCTGTCTCAAAACCAAAACCAAAATATGAAAACCCACCCCAAACCTGGCCTTGAACTAAAGGGTGACTAGTCCATGAAGAACAGTGGTGTAAGCATCCGCTTTAACTGTCTTTCACTTATTTATTTTTGAGATGCAGTTTTGCTACGCAGCCCAGAATGATCTCAGACTTGCCATCTTCCTGCCTCAGCCTCTCTGGTGCTGTGATTATGGGTGCTGGCTGGCCCTCACTTTTGAATTACTGATCCTCCCTGGTTCCACAGCTAACTGCTCATTTCCAGCTAGATCACACACACTCACCTTTAAAGATGAGGAAGGCTGTCCGGGGAAGCTCATCAAACCAATGCTGTCTGTTCTTCTTTGCCTGCAATGTGGAGGGTCCAGAGGAGATGGGGTCAGGGTCAGGGATGGGAGCCTAGCCTAGGCCTCCTAAACTGGGGACAGCAGTGAGTGACATTTAGGGATCTGGTGATAAACTGGAAAGCTGGGGCTGAGTGCCCATAGTACTCCATGCATGGACCATATTTGCATATGGCCCATCACTCTGAGAAAGGATGCCATTCTCTGGCATCCCAGGTGGGCTTGGGAAGGCTGGGTCATGGGGTCAGGATCCCTGTAGCGGCTGAGGTGCCTGGGTCCCACTGAAGGCTGAGCTGCCATCCCCATCTGCTGCGTGCCGACAGGGGGACACACACTCACCTTCCACTGCAGAGCAGCAACTTCGTAAATGTCATAGAAGTCCTTCAGGCTGTCACAAGCAAAGTGAAAAGGCAGTCATGTGTAAGCCGACTCGCACACACGCATGCACGCAAGCACGCAGCCTCTGCTTCCCCCGCCTGCCCAAGGCTACCTCTCACAGGAAGATAGACATCTTGTGGGTCCCAGAACTAAGTCAGGGTCCTCACCTGCAGCATGCTGATTGCCTCTGTCCTCCAGGGGCTAGGCTGACTCAATCCACACTAACCACCTCTGCTGGGAACACTGCCCCCTAGGGGACCAGCAGCCTCCGGGGACTGACAGATAGTGATCTCAGTCAGAGAGAGATCTCAGTCACTTCCACAGCAGGCGGTGCCCAGCTGGGTGGGTAGCATCCTACTACTCACCAGCCTCGAGGCCAGCCCCAAAACTGGAGATCCTCGGGCTCAGCCCTTCCAAGCCGGAATGGAGTGTGTGCGTGTGTGCGCACGTGCATATGCACAGGGAATGCTTTCGTGTAGGGCCAGAGCACAACTTTCAGGAGTTGATTCTCTCCTCCCACCATGTGGGTTCCAGGGATAAAACTCAGATCATCAGGCTTGGCAGCAGGCGCCTTTACCCACCGAGCCAGCTTACCTTCTCCTGTGACTTGTTTGTTTGAGACAAGATCTGAAATAGTCCAAGCTGGCCTCGAACTCACTACATGACTGAGGGTGGCATTAAGTTTCCAAGCCTCCTGCTTCAGGCTATTAGATACCAACACTAGAGTATAAATCACCACATCCAGTCTCGAGCATTTCTCTTGAGTCAAACCAGACTGATGTGGCTGGGCTTCCCTGGCTTACCAAAGGTGACCAATGACCATGACCGTGTGCGAGTTGTGGTATAATCTGTACCCCTCTGCAGTCCACCTCGCAGTGCCCAGAATTGCTTCACTGTAGGGGTGGGGGTCTGGCCACACCGCCCCATGTGGCTCCTGGCTCTTACCTGAGCAGAGGTGTGTTGCTCTGGTTCAAGGCCTTGAAAGTCAGGAAGCGCTCCCTAGCACTCATCCGGGGCTTGTAGAAGCGCATCAGGCCTTCAAACTGTCTATAGGAGATGCCGGCCGGCCTCTGGGGGAGAGAGAAGGCAGTGCCGTGGGACACGGGGACTTGAGAACACAAATGGCATCATGCCTGTGGGGCAGTTATTCCAATCTGCATTTTGGCACCTGCATTTTTCTCCCACGGGTAGTATGGCACTACAGGGTCGCCACCTCTGCCATGCCAAAAGGGATGCTTTAGGTAGGGAAAGAGAATGAACTCCCCCTCCATGACTCGGCCCCACTGCCCTGCCCTACCCGCTGGCTGACGAGCAGGCGGTAGGCGTGCTGGATGGCGGTTCGCTTATGCAGCAGCAAAGACTTGAACTTGCGCTTTTCGATGTCATTGAAGGTGTCGAACACCACGGCCAGGAGCTGTAAAGGACAAGCATGGAGCCTTGGCTGTCCTCTGAGTGGGTTTGCAGGGCTCAGGGGTCCTCCTCTGCCCCCAGACAGTTTTCACCTAGCCACCCAGGGGGCCCTGAGGAGGGGGACAGCTACTCAAAAGGCAAGGACATGGATTGCTGCTCTTTGCACATTCCTCTCCTGAAGGCACTATCAATGGGTTTTCCTCAGGCCCCTCTTCTGTCCCCCATAGCTGGCCCCTGGCTGGCCAGAGGACAGGACAAGGACTTCAACCCTGGAGCCTCCTCCTCCTACCATGCTCTCTTTTCTTGTGAGTCACAGCTTCCTGTGAGGTTCCAGGGCTATGGGGGGGAGGGGGAGGAGGCCTGCATGCATGCCAGTAAAGAACATTCCAGAACTGCCCTAGAGCAAAGTCAATTCGTTAATGAAGGGAACAGAGGGTGGGAAAGATCTGACAGATACGCAGTTGTTCAAAGTTGCTTTGAGTGAACTATCCAGTTCTTTCTGCTGCTTCCAATTCCCCCACTCCCCCTCATTGTTTTCCATGTAGACTGAAAGCAAGCATTTTTTTCTACCAAAGGCCACGTAGGAAAGGCTTGCGGAGGTGTGGGCAGATGGGCTCTGTCACAAGTTTACTCAACCCTGTGGCGGGACTGTTTCCAAGGAGAGACCAGCCACAGATGAAATAAACACAAGGGAGCAGCCGGGTGCCAATAATACTTACTGCAAGTAATTACTGTGTGTGCACACATGCACGCCTGTGTGTCTGTGTGAGCACACATGCCACAGTGCATTGTGGAGGTCAGAGGACAACTTTTGGGGGTCTGTGCTCTCCTACTCAGGCTGTGAGGTTTGTAGGCAAGTGATTTTACCTGCTGAGCCATCACACTGGCTCCTACGTTTCTCAGCCAGTCTTACCATGTAGCCATGGCTGATCTGGCGTTTGCCATTCCCGTGCTTCCCCCTCCCGAGTGCCAGGGTTACAGGCATGTGGCACCGGGTCCAAGCCTCCCCAGCTGTTCTGACTTGGTGCCGGCCACACAGAAATCCTCTGCCTTTCCCATGTTCTAGTCATCAGACTCTCCGCATCCCAGAGCCCCGCCCCATTCTGGAGGGGGACTGTTGAGGCGGACAGGCTTTGCACATTCAACCTGGAAGCACCGTGCCACATTCCTTCTGTGCAGTTCCCTGTGCTGTCCACACTCCCACCATGTAATGGAGTTTCTGTGAACACCCAAAGGATGGAGTTTGGGCCGGGCGTTGGTGGCGCACTTGGGAGGCAGAGGCAGGCGGATCTCTGTGAGTTTGAGGCCAGCCTAGTCTATAGAGAGAGTTCCAGGACAGCCTCCAAAACAATACAGAGAAACCCTGTCTCAGAAAAAAAAAAAAGAATGGAGTTTGGGATGCTTCCAGAGGGCCTCACATGGGGAGGTTCCTGCAGGGACAAGTCAGGAGAGGACAGGGGAGCGTCCACTGTGCCCTTGCAAATCACCCTCAGGTCTCCTTGCTATAAACCTGCAAACACATCTTCCTAGTTCTATGAGTCATTGAGGAAATCACTGGCCCTAAGGTGGGGGTTGCAGGAACCCTAATAGGCAGCTACTGAGCCAGAAGCAAAGGGGTCCCCTGGTGCTTACAGCTGCCTGAAGTTTGGGGACCACGCCCTTGCCTTCTGGGGTCTGGCGCTGTCTGGAAGTGGTATGGGCAAAAGTTGCCAGAAGGCACACACACCTGCTTGACCACAGGCTGATTAAAACTTCACAGACAGTGGAGAGCTTGGGGTGTGACTGGTCAGGAACCTAATTACAAACTACCTCGGTTCCTTCATAGCCATTTACAACCTCTGCATGCGACCTTCCGTCTTTGTGGCTATCAAGGAAATTCTGCAGAATGTACAAACAGACCACCAATCTAAAGGCCAAGAGTGCCCTCGGCTGGCACCTGAGGTCCACAGCAGAGCTCTTCTTCTCTCTGTAATGGTGTTGCCAAAGTATTCAGAGAGTGTCTTGAATTATGACTCTTTGTTCTGTTACAACAACCCTTCTTGGCAATGCTGCCACAGGCCATGGGATTTGGGGTAACCACAATCTGTGGTCCCAGGCCACGGTCACTCATATTTAGTTCCAGAATGTTTCCTATCCCCACTGAGGTGAGTGAGGGCTGTGTTTGTGTGCCAGTGGACAGTGTATTGAGGAAGTCAGGGGATGCTGGCTGGACTGTGGGGAGAAGCCCCTCACCTTGTGAAAGGTTTCTGAGTTTCCTGTGACTGTGGCAAGAGCAGAGGGAAGGAGAGTCTGCTTCTCCTGGCGCCTCTCAGTGAATGACAACTTAGAACCACTACAGGAGCCGGGCGCTGGTGGCGGCACACCTTTAGTCCCAGCACTTGGGAGGCAGAGGCAGGAGGATCTCTGTGAGTTCGAGGCCATACTGCCATACTGATCTACAGAGCAAGTTCCAGGATAGGCTCCAAAACAATACAGAGAAACCCTGACTCGAAAAACCAAAAAAAAAAAAAAAAAAAAAATACTACGGGAGGCAGACTGGTATGTGACTTCGTGATTTGAGAATTAAGAAGAAGGAAAAAAAAAAAGAAAATATATCTGTTAAGTCTGAAAATTTTCAGATTTCACCAAACCACACAAGACAGAGTGTTCCATTTCTTTTCTTCATTTTTAAAAAATCCATGTACATGTGTCTGAGTGTGAGTATGTGCACCACATGTGTTCAGGAGCACTAGGAGGTCAGAAGAACTGAGTCTTCATTGTGGGTGCTGGGACCCACGTCCAGGTCCACTCCGAGGGCAGTAAGTAGCCACTAAGCCATCTCTCCAGCCTGTCTTCCATTTCTATCCTGGGCCTGACTGTGCAGACCAACTCGACGATATTTTTAAGACCTTCACAAATAAGAGCTGAGGTGAGTGGCTCAGCCAGCAGTGTTTGCCAGACACATATGAGGCCCCCAGCACCACGTAAAACCAGGTGTGTAATCTCAAATGCAATGGGCTAGGGGCTGGTCCAGGGGTAGCAAGCTTCGACAGCATTGCAAAGGATTTGGGTTTGATTCCCCAAAAACCTGAAGGCTTTGGAAAGCCCTGGTCTCTGCTCGCTCTGCTGTTGTCATGGGTCTTGGCCTAGTGTTGGCTATCGTCTTGATGTCAAAACACTCCTGGTGGTCCTGGGCTGTGTGGTGATGGGCACATATGTCCCTCTGTCCGCCTGACTCTCAGCTGGTGACAGAACCACAGCACAGCTGCCCTGCATCTGTACAGTCCTCTCCGCGCCATGCCTGGCTGGCTTCAGTAGGGCACAATGTTTTCTTTTAGGAGGGAAAGATGCAGAGGTGAGAATTGCCTCTCTGTATAATTCAGCACCATCTACAGCGATGGCGGCACAGAGCCGGGGAACCCCGGCCGTCCTTGCAGCATTCTGCAGGGACTCACACGTGACGGTGGACCTGGGACAGACCTCCTTGGCGTCCTGACATCTCCGTCCTCACGCCCACTGCAGACTCCAAGTTCATGATGAAGTACAGCCAACACAGACACTCACCAGGTTCATGATGAAGTACAGCTCAATGGAGAGGTACACGATGAAGAAGATGCAGGACCAGGGGCTCCGGGAGTAGGAGGGCATCATTACGTCTGGAAAGCTGCACGGCAGAGGGGTCACCTCAGTCTCTAAGGATGCGCTTTGAGAGAGACAGCTGCTCCCCTGCACTCCCGGCCACCCCTTTTCCCTCCGCTCAGCCCCGTGGGCACTGAGATGGGGAGAAGCTAGGGAGGACGGAGACAGCCCTGGGCCCGGGTGAGGTCAGTGGTGGGAGTGGGCACAGGCTTACTTGGCTGTGGTCAGAAGAACGAACAGGTTGACGATGCTGTTCTCCAAGGTGTTAAAGTACTATAAGGAAAGGGGGGGGGGATGTGTGGACTGGCCTGGACAGTCACTCCCAGGTCTCATCTCTCCCCTCTCCTCCTTGGAATACAAAGGGCATCAAAGCAAGATGTTCAGCATCCATGGAGGAATGCAGGTCAGGAACTGTGCTGGTGAGAGCAGGCTACCAACTAAGGGAGTAAGGGACTGCTTCCCCAGGTGTCACTCATCCCTGCAGTGAGCTCCCCTCCTCCCTTTTCTACTAGAACGCTCCAGAGTTCCAAACCTGAACCTGGAAGCTTAGCCCATAAGAACAGCAAAAGGATGCCCCTTGGCTCTCAGGAAAAGCAGTGGTTCGGGTCTGAGTGATGGGGACTCTTGGGAACCAGAACCCAGGCAGGGTGCCCCTCCTAACACAGCCAGGGTCCTCCCAACTACCCTGTCTGGCAGAACAGCCTCCCCGTAAAACAAGAGACCAAGATCTGTTTACTTACTGGGTCAGAAGGGTTAGTGGAGAATAAGTAGAAACCTAGAATGTGGCAGAAAAGACAGACCAAGGAAGGAGTTAGAGTGGAACTCCCATGTGCATGGTGGGGGGGGACTTGGGGTGAAGTGAGAGAATCTAAAATGAATGAACGAATGAGAGTCAGAGGGGAGGCTGGGAAAGGGCACTAGGGTGTGGTGAGGACTCGGGGGGACTCTGGAGAACCCCTGTGAGGCCTAAAGGGAGTCGTGCTGCCATATGTAAGCCTGCTGACACCTGGGAATGAGTGTTGGCTCTGGCAGATCAAGCCTTTGAAAATGGCTGGAAGTCTGTTGCATAAAATTGAATTTTAAGATGCAAAGTTCTCACACTAATCACATCTGTGGGCTGGACTATAGATGCAGGCAGCTGACTGCCTCTGTGCTCTGAGGACACAACAGCCAGATCACGCAAAAGGCAGCCAGGCCCTGGGCAGGGATGCTATTCCTTCCTTCCTTGGAAGCCTTAGACTCATGACCCAGGGAAAACACCCTGCCTCCACGCAGATGACGAATGTAATTTGACAAGAGTGGGTGGTAGTGCGCATGTGTAATCCCAACATTCGGGAGACTGAGGCAGGACACTCAAAGGTTCTAAGCCAGCCTGGGCTATACAGTGAGGCCCAGCTGACTCGGCCCTTCAGCACGTGAAGATGTAGAGGGGAAGGTGCCGGGTTTACAGCCTCCAGAGCTGCAAGCAACTGAGGCCCTTGCTGCTGAGCCACTGTACACAGAGCCCCGAGGGACGAAGCCTTCCTGGCCTGTGGGTGACACGTTTGGAGACTGGCTGGAGGGGGGGGGCACAGGGCGCTCACCCAGGATGGCAAAGATGATCATGAAGAAGAGCAGCAGCAAAAGGATGTCCATGAAAGGTGGCAGTGACTGGAAGATCTGCCGCAGGTTGCTGGGGAGAGAGACGGCCAGCTGAGGGGTGGCGGAGGTGGGAGGGGTTATCTTTGCCCGGAGGGGACATGCTGATGGAGACATGGCCTGGAATACCGCATACTACAGTACCCAGGAGGGTAACATGCTTAGCTTAGTCCTAATGCACCTGAGGCCTCCACTCAGTGGGTGACAGGGACAGACAACGCAGGAGCTGTCACCTCCACCCTAAGAGGGAAGGCATGGCATGAGGCTACATGTGGTCTGGGGGACCAAGGTCATCTTCCATAGGAGGGCACACGCACACATGTATACTAAGCCACCTAGTCCTAGGATAGCTGTTTCTAGCTTCAGGCACAAGGATCAATTGCTCATTTCCTGCCATGAGTGGGTCCCTGGCCAAGTGACCAGATGGAGTGTCCAAGGATGGGTTTAATTCTAGGTTGAGTAAGCTCAGGCTCAGGGCTCTGGACTGGTTAGGAGGAGCCTGCAGGACAGGGCTGCGAAGTGAGCCTTAGGCTACTGTTGTTGGGCTGGAGAAATCATACATCAAGATAGGGAAGGGCTCTCGGTCAGAGTGAGGACGCTCCCCAGAAATACACCCTCTCCCGAGTTGAAGCTAATGTGCTGACACTGCCCCCGGAAGCAGGATTAGGTTGGGGTCAGTCAAGTCAACTCCTGCCCACTCCCCTCCCATCAGCCTGGAGGGCCAGGCCACCACATGGGACTGTCTGGCCACTGAGTCCCAGGCCTTACCGCCGCACGCCGCCACAGTAGCGACAATCCACCAGGAAAATGCAGCGTAGTGCCCGGGTCACCCGCATGTGGGAAGTCTGTCGCACCAGCACCACAATAGCTTCGACGAACTGTACCACCAGGACAGATGTCTGGGGATGGGAGTTCAGAACATGGTTATCTCCCTGACTCAGCCTCCAACGTGCTGAGCAGACACTGATGGACAGAGAGAGCCCACAGGGACCACAGGCTGCCTCTCTCAATAGCAGTAGTGAGCCCTCCTACAGCCAGCCCAGATGTGTGGCCTGAGATAAAGCTGGCATGTGGGTCTTCTCTACAGTGAGACACTACCTGTCCCTGGATACCCACCAATACCCTCCCAACATCCTCATGACACCTGGAAGCCCTTGAGGACTCAGCCCTTGGGGATGTTTTCCTAGACAAATGGCATGGACCTTGGCATGGTCCCACTGAGGTCACAGAGCTGGGTCTGAATCCTGTTCTCTGGGCCTGACACCCTAATCATTCTCTGGTTGGGTATGAAATGAGAAGATCAGCACACCTGCCCCCCTCCCCAGGTGACCATGTATATGCAAATCAGCCCACCAAGCTACCCAGCATATGCTGGGTCCAGGGGGATTTTAAATGGAGCCACAGACATAGGTGTGTCAGGGGCCCAGGGAAACGCACTGCAATGGGATAGAGTACCTTGACCATGGTGCGTTTGTGCCGGACGAATGTGTGGAAGCCCAGCCACCGCAACTTCATGCAGAGTTCAAACACCACCACTATGAGGGCGAACAGCTCCAGGGTGGCGTGGACCTGCAGCCAGAGAGGTGAAGACCATCTTTGGGGAGCCCATCCACGGTACCCCCCACTTCTCCCAAGGCTCACACACACACACACACACACACACACACACACACACACACACACACACACACACACACGCACACACGCACACCAAACCCCAAGATGCCAGACTAGGCCTTGGAGACAGAGCTTTCCCCAGACAGCTAAGAATAAACTTGACATTCAACAGACAGAAATGCAGACCCACATGGCGTGAAGTTAGAAAGCAGTTCCAGGCTCTGGTTGTTCTAGGGGGAATTGTGCAGGACTTAAAAAAACAAAAACAAAAACACAAAAGGCATTTGGGAGGCAAGAACAGGGGATTGAAAACAAAAAGGTGAAAGGTACCACACTTAACAGTCATCTGCATCTAAGCAGGCTGCTAGGGCTGGGGGCATGGCTCAGTTGAGTAAAGGCACTACTTGCCTTGTAGGCCTAGTGACCTAAGATCTACGCCCTGGATCCCACATATAGATAGAAAGAAAACACACTCCACAAGCTGTCCTCTAACTCCCATACATGTGCCATGGCAGGAGAGCATGTACACACACACACACACAAACACTAATGGTAAGTAATTCTTTTTAAAAAGAGGGATATGTGAATAGCAAACTCTATAACTATGCTTCCCCATGGGATGGAAGGAGAAGGACCCAGGGAGTAGCCCCTCATGGGACTTCACCCATGTGAGCTGTGGCTCTCCCACTCCACAGGCCTGAGTGGGCTCTCAAGGCCCCAGCCCATCTATGGAGTCACTTGGAACCAAAGGGCACCTCCTCTAGCTGAGAACAGGGAGCGGCTGGGTCTTCACTTTGCTCTTTTAGAACGTTGCCCTTAGGTCCCCTTAAATCGCTGACAAGGCTCCTCGGCTCCTTGGACCCTTTTCCTGGAGCACTCACGTAAATGCCGAGCCTGAGCGCAGGGACGGCGGGTGCCTCACACAGCGACAGCAGCAGCAGCAGCAGGGCTGTGAGCAGCTCCATCAGGTAGAAGAGGTGGTTGTGTGCAAAGAGGTAGGCCGCCAGCGCTCTGGCATCCTTGGGGTGGGTGAAGAACTTGTCATTGTTCTGGCCTTCCTGCAAAGACAGGTGTCATGCTGGAGAGGCGGCCGGTGACAGAGGCCAAGACACAGTTCAGGCTGTGATTTCTACATCCAGGAAGGCGGTGGAACAGCAATCGCACTGGGGGAACAGTCCCTGCTGTCCCCTGCTGTCCCCATGGCCGTCTTCCCCTTCCGAGGAGGCCTTGGCTGGAGCTGACAGGGGACTTGGTCACTTCCTGAAAGCTGGATGTTGCTATCCCCATCAGCAATAGAAGACAAACCGTAGGCCAGACAGAGGAAGCAGGGTGGTGCCCAGGGGACGCTAAAAGACCCTGTGGTCTGTGCAGGGCGGTGTCTCCCACCATCTCACCGTGGTCTCCAGGGACAGAGAAGCCTCTGTTTTCAATTACTAAAATATGTAATTCTTGTGCAATGTTGTTCTAACCAACTGCATTGGAGGAAGGTGTAGCTAGAGAGAGCCTGTTGGGGGTGCTCAGCTCTGAACCCCAGGACACATAGCCATCCAGGGAACGGGGCATGTTGTCTCCGCCAGCAAATGGACTGAGAATCCACAGGATCTAATACAGCTCCTAGAGAGAGCTTTGGGCTTGTGCACAGACTGTCCACCCCAGGCCTCTGTTCTATGGGCTTCAAGTCTCCAGGATGCCAGAACCTCAAAGTTCACGGCACCCAAGGGTGAGTGAGAAAGTTAACAGGCAAATGTGAGAAGAGGAAGCCACCAGCAGTAGACACCCTCAATGCACCCAGGGCCAGAAACCCACATACACCAGTGACCCACACTGGGCCTTCTCCAGCACGGAGAAGGAGGAGTGAGGAGCTGAGCCTAACCCCAGCTATATAGTCTTCCAACACAGACCAGAACCCACTGGGATCTGAGCTCTGCTTCACATTTTACTGTTAAAAGTTGATGCTGGGGCCAGGCAATGGTGGTACATGCTTTTAATCCCAGCACACGGGAGACAGAGGCAGGCAGATCTCAGTGAGTTCGAGACCAGCTTGGACTACAAAATGAGTTCCAGGAGAGCCAGGGTTGTTACACAGCAAAATGCTGTCTTGAACACCCCTCCCCTACCACCCCACAAAAAACAAAAAACAAACAAACAAAAAACAAACAAACAAACAAAAAAAAAACAAAGCTGACGCTGGGTCAGGAGAGAGAGCTTGGCAGGTAAAGGCGCCTGCTGTCAAGCCTGGTGACCCAAGTTCAAGTCACAGGACCAATATGGAGAAGGAGATCCAATTCCTTGCAAGGTGTCCTCTGATCACCACCCATATACCCATCACATACTATCCCCCAACACAATAAATAAACATAAAAAACCATTAAAATGATGTCTTAGCTAGGTGCAGTAGCACACACTCTGAATCCTTGGGAGGAATACTTGGGAGGCAGAGGCAGGTGAATCTCTACGACTTCTAGGCCCGCCTGGTCTAATAGGAAGTTCTGGGAAAGCCAGGGTTACACAGAGAGACCCTGTCTCAAAACAACAGCAACAACAATGAAAAGATATCTTTAAAAAAAAAAAAAGCTCTCTATATGCAGAATCTGGATTTAACTACATATCCTCACTATGACAGCCAGGCAAACCTGTGACAGCCAGGCAAACCTGTGCTGCTCCTCCTGCCTTGGTCTTAGCCATCATACCTGGATTGAAACCCATTATTAGATTTACCTTAGGGTTTCTATTGCCATGAAGAGACACCATGACCACTGCAACTCTTTCATTTGTTTGTTTTGCTTTTCAAGACAGGGTTTCTCTATGTAGCTCTGGAGCCTGTCCTAGAACCAGCTCTGTAGACCAGGATAGCCTCAAACTTCCAGAGATCTGTCTGCCTCTGCCAAGTGTTGGGATTAAAGATGTGTGCCGCCACTGCCCAGCCTGACCACTGCAACTCTTACAAAGGAAAACATTTAACTGGGGTGGCTTACAGTTTCAGAGGTTTACTCCGTTATTGTCGTGGTGGGATTTGGAGGTGCGAAGGCAGACACAGTGCTGTGTACATAGCTGAGAGTCCTACATCTTGACTCACAGGCAACAGGAAGTGGTCTGAACCACACAAGTGAGGACCCGAATGCAGATCCCAAGGACCTGATTGTAATTCCAGCCCCGCCCCCACCCCCAGGGCCACACCTAGATGCACTCACCTGAAGGTAGATCGCTGCCTCTTGGTAATTCATCTCCCAGTTGTGTCCAGTGGGACTGGAGGGGGAACTGTCGGCCCTGGAGACCAGACTGGGAACCTGGGAGTCCTGGATGCCATGGTTGCCCCCATCTGCATTGGGAGAGGGGAGAGACTCTCTTAGAATCCAGGCTTAAGTTAACACAGAACTGCTCAGCACCAGGCCACCCTTGTTAGCGTGCTAACCTGTACTGCTAGCAACATGCATCAGGGTGGCTGATCAAAAAATGCTTTCTTTCTCTTGAATAAGAAAAAAACAAAAAAATGTGCCAGCAAGATGACTCAGCAGATAAAAATGCTTGCTACCAAGCCAGATGACCTGAGTTCAACCCCTGATGTTCATACGGTAGAAGGAGTACAGACGCCTTTAAGTTGTCCCGACCTCCGTATGGGCACCGCAGCATGTGGGCACGCCAACCCACTCCTATAAATAAATGAGTGTATTTCCTTTAGAAAAGAAAAAAGCACAAAGGAGCAGAGGGAGTGAAGGAGGGGAGGGCTAAACTGACACATGTCTACATATCTTTAGAAAAAGAAATTCAGAAAAAGAAAAACAAGAAAGAAACAGGCTGTTTGTGAGGGGTAAGGGCAGGCAGAAGAACAGGCTCGCTGTGTAGACTTTTGACTTTGGGAAGCATGTAAAGATCTTGCTTAGTCAAACATTTAACCAAAGTGAGCCCCCCCAACCCCTGTGGGGCAGAAGCATCTGTTGCTTTTGCCTGCTCCCCCCACCCCCCAATGCCCACCTCTTCCCTGCTTTGTCTCGGCAGAGTGCCCTCTCCCAGCCTCTGCCACACTGTTTGGCTTGGACAGAGCCAGCCCTGGCTCAAAGGCAGCTGACCCGAGCCTGCCAGCAGAGCCAGGGATCATGGCGGGTGAGCACTGGAGCCGGCCAAAGGAGCCGCATTTGGCATTTGTCCTGGGTCAGCTGGGAAAGAGGGGCTCTTTCTGTCCTCTGGCTGCATGAGAAGGAAGTCAACAGGGCCCTCGACTTCCCCATGTGAGCATGTTCACATGGTTTATCACAATCTGCAGTCTCTCCTGATACACATGCTGAGTTTGAGCACTGGGCAATGAGTCCACTTGGTTAATCTACTGAGAAGAAGTGAATCTATGACAATCTGGTTCCCCACAACCCACACCGTAAATGAGGTTTCCATAGGAGGAACCCAATGTTAGATTCTTTCATTTGCATGGCTGACGGAAAGAAAACAGATATGGTTCACAGAGCCATCAGGCTAGCGCCAGAAAGGGCTAGGTCCGCAGGCCACTGGGTTCCAAGATCTCTCTGATCTGGAAAGGTAGGCTGGGGTCACTGGGTACGGCCATCCACAAGGCTCTTCCCACAAATTTATAAAAACACACAGAGGGGACCGTTGATGCTAAGATGTACATGTTTTAGAGTGTACAGCTTGACAGCTTTGTTTTTGGGTGGTGTCAGGCCAGGACTGTGTGGGTGCTCTACCGCTGAGCTACATCCTTAGCCCAATCAGGTATTATCTCTGTACACACTTGTGAAAGTAGCAGCTAAATCAAGAAGTAAGGCCGCACGGTCTGTGCGCAGAGGCCTGGAGTCCCAGCTAACTGAGAGGCCGAGCAGGAAGACCGCAAATTCAAAGCCTGCCTGGGTTAGAGAGTGAAGTCCACCCAGACTCAAAAACTGTCTCAGGACAAAATGCAGGACTGGTGAGATGGCTCAGACGGTAAAGGGTCTTGCTGTCAAGCCTGATGACCTGAGTTCGACACCTAGGATCCACACGGTCGAAGTAGAGACCTGATTCCCATGGCTGCCCTGTGGCTTCCACATGTGCACAAATAAAGACAATAAGCAATTAAATATTAAAATAAGCAAATATCATGGCACATGCCTTCAATCACAGTACTGGAGAGGTGGAAGCAGGTGGATCTCCTAAGGTCAAAGGTCTGCATGGTCTATATAGTAAGTTCCAGGTCAGCCAGTGTCACATAACAAGACCCTGTCTCAAAATGAACAAACCAAACCAAACAAACAAACAAAAACACTAATTAATTAAGTAAATAATTGAATTAATCAAAAGTAAAGTGGGCCAGAGACACAACATGCCAGGAAAGCACTAACTCTGTGTGCAGGAGGCCCCGAGTCAATCCTCAGCACCTAAAAAGTAAACTAAAAAGATAAACAAACAAATAAATAGACCCTGTGTGGTGGCACACGCCTTCAGTTCAGTACTCGGGAGGTAGAGGCAGGCAGATCTCTGTGAGTTCAAGACCAGCCTGGTAAAAAAACAAAACAAAAAACAAAACAAAACAAAAAAACAAAAAAAGAAGAAAGAAATCTAAATAAAAGGACAACAGTCATCACTTCTGCCTCCTGTCCCCCCAGATGACCACTCAGCTGCTGCCCTGCCTGATGACTCTGCATGTCTCAGAATATTGTTTAAGACATTGTCCAGTCTGCGCATGTGGCTGCCTCCTCTCACTATAGTTATCCTGAAGTGAATCGGTACCGTGCCATGTGTCGTCAGCTCTGTGCCACTGAGCATATTCCATCCTATAGCTGTGCCCTCAAGTGCCCGCGGTGTCCCTCCCAACACCCACAGACACTGACTCAGGATCAGCTGCTGAGGCGCCAGGCTCGCTGTGGGGCGTGCGCTCTCATTCCTTTGGAGTAAATAAATACCTAGAGAGGTTGGATGACGGGGCACAAGCTTAACTTCTCAGAAGTAAAAACTAGGTCAGGCATGGTGGCCCGATGCAATCCCAGCACTCTGGGGCCTGGGGCAGGAGATGATGACAAGCTTGGGCTACAGGTGAGACCCTGCCTCAAAAAGAAGAAGACTCCACCAAACAAATTCTCTCAATGGTAACACCTCTCTCCATTCCCAGCAGCTGCCTGAGCCTTCCATTTCTGTGGACCCTCACCAACCGGTAGGCTCTGCCTTCAGGCACTCTGAAAGGTGTGTGCTGGGGCTGCTTTTCAGGTTCAGCTTCAAGCCTGTAGGTCCCCAAAGCTGAGCACTGTGGCTTACATCTATTACCCCCAACATCCTGCCACGCCACACCCCAGATCCATGGTGGGGATAGATCTCAGGGACCTGTGCGCATCAACCACGTGGGGCCACATCTCAGAGCCCCCACAGCTTCCCTATGCAGGCTGTCGAGCTATTGGAAAACAAGGACAGCATCCCAGCTTTCCGACAGCCGTGCAATTGAGTGTCTAAACACTGGGTTCCTCCTAGGGATGCCTTGTAAGGTGTCGGGGAGAACCAGACTGTCCAATTCATTTCTTCCTGTTCAATCCAGACATCTTGTTCCTCTGCTGGAGCAAGTCTCATGCACACAAGTGTGTGTGTGTGTGTGTGTGTGTGTGTGTGTGTGTGTGTGTGTGTGTGTGTGTCTGCTGGTATGCACAGTCTAGTCATGTCCCTCTACTATACAAGACCCTCCGCAGGTCCAGCCTAGGTTAAAAACCCAGAACTTTGTTTCTCTTTCCATTTCTCACCATGTACAAAGTCCTCCCAGGCAGAGAGGGCATCAGCCTGGGGCGACTGGCTGCCACAGAGGGTAGCTGCTCATCACAGAGCACCAAGGGGCTCTGCGGAGGGAAGTGACAGTGGTACCACAGAGGTACCATGTCACCACCTGACAGCTACAGATGATGCATGGTTAGTAAGGACAGTGAGGACAGATGTGTGCAGCCAGGCCGCAGGACTCAGTAACAAAGGACAGATGTGTGCAGCAAGGCCTCAGGACTGGATAACAACTGGCAGACTACGTAAAATATCAAGTCAGTGCTGAGCGCCACTTCAACTGGGCACATGTGTATTTTATTTCATCCTAGGTATGAACTGTGACTTGGAACTAACTGTGGCTGGGGCATCAACATGTTTACAAGTAGGCAGAAATCACCACAACAGGCAGGCCTGAGGATGAGACTCAATTGATAGAGTGTTTGCCTAGCATGTTCAAAGACCCAGGTTCAATCCCCAGCACCACACATATCAATAAATTGAAACTGGGCACGGTAGCATACTCACGTAATCCCAGTACTTAGGAGACTGAGACAGGAGGATCTGAGTTCAAGGTCATCCTCCGATATAGTCTGTGACCAGCCTGCGCTTCCTAAGACTGCCAAATGAACACAAACCAACTAACTAACCAACAAAGCCAGGCAGGCAGATGCAGGTGGCCTGAGCAACAACCCCAAACTCAGGCTGTGCCCTGAGGGGGTCAGCAGCGCTTGGACTGTGTGTGGGGGCCGAGGCCTTCCACCAACGCTGCTCTAAGATGACAATGACACTGTTAGCACACAGGAGCCCCTTCCTCCCTTTCCTGATGAACTGTGGCCCACCAGTCTATCTGATGCCACTCAGCTTGTACTGGAATGACAGACGCAGGGCAAGGCTTATGCACCAATACAGGATGGCTTCTCCCTTACCAGGTCCAGATGTGTCAGAGGACGAGTGATGGGCCCTTGGGATCTGCCACAGAGGACGACAGGCTGGCTGTGAAGAGGCAGAATAGTGTGTCCTGTCTTTGGCCCCTAACTGCAGAAGGAACAGCTGAATCAACACAGGGAGGAGGGGCCTCAGGAAGTGGACAGGCTCCACCCCTAGGATCAAAATGATTCCCACAGACTCCTGCCTCAGAGTCTCCCTTCTCTGTGCCATGTTACAAACGAGCACTGCATACCATATAAAATAGGTACGATTATGTCAATGTAATTGTCTTTTTAATCTCACTTCTTACTGGATCTTCTGCTTTTTGTCACAGCTGGAGTCATCTGTCCCCGGAACCAACCCAACCCCTCCCTTGGACTTGTCCTTTTACTGTCCTGCCCCATGATCTTTTCTATAGCAGAGAAATTCACTGTGTGTGTGTGTGTGTGTGTGTGTGTCTCTGTATATGCCTGTGTGTCTGTCTCTATATATGTGGATTTGTGTGTCTCTGTGTGTGTGTCTATGTATGTATCTGTCTGTATGCCTCTGTATATTTCTGTGTGTGTATGTGTATCTGTGTCTATGTGCCTCTGTGTATGTGTATCTGTGTCTGTGTGCCTCTATGTATGTCTCTGTGTGTGTCTGTGTATGTCTGTGTGTATGTATCTATATGTG